GAAAGAGAGAGTGGGAGAGAGATTGGACAGAGATTTTTAAAACAGGGATTAGAGAGAGGAGAGGGAAAAGATTTTCAAGTGGATAGATGGATGATAGGGAGAGAGAGGGGAGTATAGCTAGAGTAAGAAAGGTTAGAGTGAAAAAGATGAGAGAGAGACAGGAAGAAATTAGGTAATATGGAGCAATAGATGACTGATAGAGATAGTGAAACGTAGCTAGCTAAAGTAGATTAGACAGACTAAATAGGTAGAAAGATGGGCTGACTGACAGATAGGTATTGTGTCATACTTCATAAACGATATATATGCTAATATTCCCATGTCATGATGGGTGGTAAACCCTGAGACACCTTCCAGCCTGACCTCAATTCAGCAAATGTAGCGCGGACATCAGGCACTGCTTGGACCGTATGTCAGGTCCCCCCCCCCTGCCTGTCCCTGCCGTGGCAGCAGCGGCGGGGTGGGTGGTGTTTGGGGAGGGAGAGCGCTTGGATGGACACGGGGGGCTGAGGGGCAGGGAGGAGAGACGTAGAGTATGTTTGCTGTTCGTAGCACACGAGGTGCCCAGCCCGGCTCGGGCGTTGCTGACGCCCCGTGTCTCTAGCACCGAGTCGAGAGAACTGAGGTTCAGCTCTCAGGATCTGTGGGAGAGGTGTTTGGAAGGAGGCAGGAAGGAGAGAGCACGGTTTTTGTTTAGCCTCATCTCCTGTCATGACCATTTACAAGAGTTTTCTTAAGGACTGCCTTGCCTGTTTCTGCCAAGACTGCGTGGTCTCCCTGCTCTTCTGACTTCAGACCCCAAACTTTTAATCTTGCCTCCACTTTACTATTACTGTTTTTAACTTTATAAGGAAAAGAAAATTGCCTCTCGTGTCTTCCTGGACATAGGCCTTCCTCCCTCCTCGGAAAACAGAAACATTTTTCTCTCCCCAGGGATGTTTTATCTTTGTATTTCGCATGTTGCCTCCCCCTTGGCTGATGGCTGGGGCATCGCGCGTTTTGTCACCGTTCGCAAGAACATACTTTGCCATGTTGCTTAGAGAACAAAGGGTTGGGTTTTGTGTTTAGGTTTTTTCCCCCACAAAGAGAACGGGGTATGTGGTTACGAACTGCAAATCTAAATAATTTAAATACTAATTCCTCTCCCTTGGTTCCAGTGTAAAATTACTAGCTGTAACCAAGCACTCCCAATCTTTCTTATTGTACCGTGTCCTGATCCTGCCAGAGAGTCAGGGCAAAGAGAGCGTGAGAGAGAGCACACAGACAAACCCTGCCTTGAGCAGGCAGTGGTTTAATGTGTAATACACAAGATCTGTATAGGAAGCTGGGCTGTCTTCAGAGTACAGGAAGAGAGCAGAGAAAAGCATTTGGATTTCCTTGAGTTGCCTCTTCAGCCAGATTTTAGAAGACTAGAAGGAAACAGTATAAAGGATGTAGCATGGGATGGAAACTGGAAGGAGAACAGGGGTATCTGAGGAGCGATTTTTCTAGCAAGATGCCAAGTCAACTGAGAGCAGCACAAGAGGCAGGAGGTCTCAGAAGTAAAGAGTGGAGCAAAGAGTGTCCAGCAGAGTAGTTGGAGCTTTTCGGCTACTCCTGATGCAACAACCAACACGAATTCCCCAGGGAGTATATATCTAATCCGCTCTCCCTGAAGAAGATATAGCTTTGCCTGGAGGTGTCTGTGGTTGTCACTTTTTCTACGGAGAAGGAAGGGCATGTCAGAATTGCTCACACTGGGAATATGGTGCCTGACCTCACGTACAGTGCTGTGAAAATTCAGAGTCCAAGAGGGGCTTTTTCTGTGCCTCTGTAGTAAGATAGGCTAGTGATCCACATCTGTACTGAATGCTCGTACCAGCTGTAGGCCAGCTCTTGACATTTCACCTCATCTAGACTAAGCCTTGGAAAAGCATAAAAAAATCCCAGCCTAACACCCCCAGTCGACACAGTAGGTCATTCGCATGAATTTGGGCTGCTTTGCAATGCTTGTGGCATCCACAGACTGTCTGCGCTGATAGCGTATAAAAACCCACAACCCTTGCAATGGTTGCATCAGCCAAGAAGCTCCACCGCGAGCCACATTCAAAAGGGAGGGGAAGGGCATCCTGCTGAGATCCCTTCAGACCCAGTGTTTTCCAGCCCCAAACCCTAATGCAGCCCCGTGAGAGGCCTTAGCGAGAAGGAACTCACCTGTGGTGACAACGTAAACACCACCGCTTGGGGATTGTGTTACTCTAAATGAAAGAAATGGCCATGACCGGAGGAGAGGGGTTTAGAAAGAAAGGAAAGAAGAAAAAAAGAAAGAGGGAGTGCATACCAAACTCGCCACCAGAGATATTTCTTTTTTTCTGTGCTCTCTGAACTGCAAACTAGCACGTGAAGCTTTTTGTACCAAAGGTCTGGTGTTTTTGTCTTAGGAAGGAAACAGAGCGTCTGTGGTTTGCAGAGGCAGAGGGAAGGGTCCGAGTGAATGTTTTTGTGGCCCCTCTTGGCTAAGAAGTCCGTTCGGTGGTTACCTGCAGCTCAGCGGCGCGGGGGTGGTGGTGGGGGTCCTCTTCCAGGCCTGTGCTCAGATTCCCTGCTTTTCCGCATTGCCACATTAGCACTTTCACTGGATATTTAGAGCACCTCAGGACTGGTCCTCCTCTCGCTCACACCGGGGTAACTCAGGAGTAGCTCCACTGGAACCAGTGGTGTTAATCTGGTGTGAAAGTAAGGCGAGAGGAGGATTCAACACCTCGGGGGGGGATTTTCCAGGTCCCCGAGGGGGAAAAAAAAATCAATGGGAGTTACATGTCTAACTGCCACTTGTGCCTGTGAAAGTCTGCCCCTTACCTACCCATATGTATATAGGGTACAGTTTTCAGAATAACCTAAGTGACGTGGGTACTTGTGAGCACACATTTCACTGGCTTTCAAAGAGTCATAAGCTCCTAAGGCCCAGATGCTGAAGGATGTCCAGGCTCCTCTCTGCAGCGAATTTGGGGCTTCAGGCCTAAAATTCTCCAATCATTTTCCAAAATGGAACTGAAGATCGCGAGTCATTTAGGTGGTCCTGAAAGCGCTATCCTCTATCCATTTTTCAGGGTGTTGATCTCAGGTCATGTGCGAGCCTGCATTCTTACCTACAATGCTTTATTACTACATTCCTCTGTTGAGCAATACTTGGAAGAAGAGGCGAGGTCGAGATTTGCAGAACAGGCTAGTGACCCCGGTGGCTCACGTCTGGGGTGCCCAACTGGAGAGACACCTCGCTGGGGCCCAGTCCACAGGTCCCCTGTGTACTCTGAACATCAAGATTCATGTATTACACACCCAGAACCACTGGTCACTCCCCCCAAAAAAAATCCCAGCCTAAGACCTAGACTACTCTCACGAAAAAAATCCTAGGTGAACCGTTCATCCAATAGCTTGTTTTTTCTGCTCATGCCTGTTCCCAATGAATGAAACACATCCCTGTGCATCACCTAAGCCCTATTTTGAGGGGTTACACTGGCATACAGCTGAAGTAACACATTAGTAAATTGGGGCCTGAAGAAGGCGGCTACAGCCTAGAGAGTATCAAGAACTGTGACGTGTCTGGAAGCTAATACGAGCAGAACTTGACGATTAGAGCGGCCCATTTCCGA